CTCCCTGGCGGGGCAGCGGGCCGATGCGCGGCCAGGACCTGCTCGGCCACCCCGGTCTGCAGGGTGGCCGAGAGTTCCTGCCAGAAGGCAGCAGCGTCCGCGGCGGCGCCCGCTTCGCCTTCCGCGCGGTCAAGCCGGTCGAGGACCAGCTGCCGGGCCGCCTGGCCCACCCGGCCGCCGGTTTCGACCGCGAAAGGCGTGAGGAGCGGCGTCGTAGGACCTGGCGGGTAGCGCAGGTGCTTTCCACGCGCCGCGTCCTCGGCCGCAAGGCCACCGTGGGCCGCCCTAGCCCGCTCCTCGCGCGGCTGCGTGGTGTCGGGGCTCGTGACCACCACGTCCACGACGTGCCACGCGCCCTTTTCGGCCCACTTGACGTCTAACACCGCCACCTCCACCCCGTCCAGTCCAGTCGCCGGGTCGCGGCGCCGCCGCGTCCACTGTGGCACCGTCTGTTCAGTCCGCACCAAGCCAGGGACCCTCTTGGCCAGCCAGCGGGCGAGCAGGTCGCGGATCCGATCGTGCCGCCGTGTCCGGGCGGGCCCCGTCTCGCACGCGATGGCGTGGTGCTGATCAAGTTCATGCAACGCTCCGCAAGCGACCCCCTCGCGGGAAGTGTTCTGACAGTGCGTCTGCGATGCATGACCCTTCAGCAGCCTCGGCCCAGTCATCTAGGCGCCTCCGTAAGGACAGCCGGTACAAGTCGGCGGCCATCCGGTGTTCTGGCGCCGTCGGCAGCAGCGTAAAAGCCCCAGCGCCCGGGCCGCCGCAGGACTGAATGCGACCGAGCGTGCGGTCGTCCAGGCCGTCCTTCGCCCTTGCGTCGAGAACGTCCATAATCGGCCGCATCAGGTCCTTCTGCCTGCTACTCTCCCCCAGCGCCAGCGAGACCTGCAGGCGGTGCGCCGCGTTGCCCACCTTGGCGTTGTACGCTGCCACTGCGTTGGCGAAGTCTTGCGTGCCTGTGGCCTGCCTCGCGAGGAGTGCCTCTGCGCTGCCCATGCCTAGGGCGGCTGCGACCCTTGGGGCCGCGGCGCACCACGCGGCCACGTGCGCGGCCTCTCGCCGGGGTTCGGCCGCGCCCGCAGCCAGGCCGCCGTCGCGCAGCGGCAGGCACGCCTGAACCCACTCCCTGTCCGTTTGGGCTTCGTCAAGCAGGCCGTCCCAGAGGTCCCGGAGGACGCGGTCGAAGGCTTGCACAGCCTGCTGGTCCACGAGCTGCGCGCGCAGGAGGTGATTCGGTAGGCCCTGTGCTGTCCAGCGGAGCATAGCGCCAGCCTCTTGAAGCCCGAGCCTGGCGGTCACAGCTTGGTGGAGGGTCTGGCCAAAAGCTCGTAAGGCCTCAGTAACCTTGCCCATAGCCCGGGCGCCGCCTCCTGAGCCTGCCGCCAGCTCCTCCCAGTCGTCGTCCTGGCGGTGCGTCAGGTTGCAGCCTAGCACGCGGAGCTCGTCCACCACGTAGGTTTGCAGCGCCGGGGGGCATTGGGCGCTGCCCGGGGGAAGCCACACCTTCGTCTTGGTCGCGTTCAGACAGAGCCCCCAGGCATTCAGCCGCCCAGAGAGGTCGTGGATGAACTGCTCGGCTTCGGCAGCGGGCACCACAGCGACGACGTCGTCGAGGTACGCCGTGACCAGGCAGCGCGGAGAGCTGGCGAAGTGCTGCAGCGTTGTCTGGTGGAGGGCCGCCGCGTAGGCAGCGGGGCTCAGGGGGCAGCCCTGCGAGACCCCGGCCCCTGTGCTCAGCTCGTGCAGGTCGCCCTCGCCGTCGCGCCAGAGCCCCACCGCGGGCTTCGCGTAGAGCCGGGCGAGCAGGCAGGCTGCCGTACTCGGGGAGGGCCGCCCCCAACGCGGCGAGGACGGCCTGGCGGGAGACTGTGTCGAAGGCGTTACTGACATCGACGGCGACCAGTAGACTCCCCGGTCGGTCATGGACCGCGCTTTGCAGGGCCCAGAACTGGACGTCCGCGCCCCCTGGCACTCCGAGCCCGTACTGGAGCGGACCAGCAGCCGCCTGCGTGGCATCCGCGGTATAGGCGACGAAGCCCGTGAGGACAGTGCGGCGGAAAGGCGCCAAGACAGTGAGAGGCCGCACCCCGCCGGCGGGCTTGTGGAGCGCTGTGATTGTCCCCGTGTTCAACCAGTCGTCCACAATGTGCGGCGTAGTGCCTTCCACCCACGCGAGGGCGGCGTCGGACAGGGCTGCGGCGGCGTCGGCGTCGGCGGCAACCACACGCCAGTGCTCGTTGCGACTACCATCCGGCCCCGGCGCGCGGCCAGAGCGGGCCCTCCTGAAGGCCCCGAGGATGGCGTCTGCGAGCCCGTTTCTAGTGTCATCTGGGAGAAGAGCTGTGGCGGCGTGCTGCTGCTCCGGGCGCCAAGTGTTCTGTTCCGGGAAGAGGGCTCGGAGCTGGTCGCGCGTGCCGTTCCCCGTGGCCACGCGGCCGGTCTGGCGCAGGGCGGCGACAGCACCCGCCACTTGCCCATCGTCCAGCCTCGCGCGGACGCGGCGCACCTGGCGGTCGATGCTGCCAGTCTCGCCGCTTGTTGGTGCCAGCCGGAGCTCCCGCCTGTGAGCTGCGGCCCAGAGCTGCTGCCACTCGCCGCGCCAGAAGGCCTGCAGGCGCGCGGCGATGTCATGCTGGATGCGCACGGCCCGCTTGCCGTTAGCTCCGCGCCCGCCGCGCGTTCCCGTGGCGGCGAAGACCAGGCGGGGGGCGAACATAACCATCTTCCACGCCCTTTCGCGCTCCTGCGGGCTGCTCCCGTGCACGCTCTGCCAGAGCGCCGCGCCCATGGCTTCGGCCCAAGCAGACTGGAGGTTGGAAGGCACGCGTCGCATGGTGGCAACCCTGTGGCCCAGGGAGTGCTGGACGTCCAGGCTGTCCCACCACGTCATGTTGGACAGCCGGGAAGGCGGGAGGCCCTCCTCGTCCCCAGCAGCCGCTGCGGCCGGGGGATTGGGGGTTTCCTCTGGCTGGAAAGCCTCGGGGTCAGCTTCGGGTTCCGCCGCCGCCGCCTCGCCGAGTAGAGCCCGCACGCGTGCGACCTCCTCCACAGGAGCCCCGTGTGCCCCCTGCAGCCTGGCTGAACGCCGCCACCGCGTTCCCACGCAGTGCCAATGGCAAAACCGTGAACCGCCGCGGACCGCGCCCTGCGTCTGGAGCCAGGCCTCGCCGATGGCGAACACCTCCTTGCATCTGGTGCAATGGGCGCGCCGTCCGCGGCCCTGCTGGGAGACAACCCACGTAGGTCCGGCCGCCGCTTGCCCATCAGTGTCCATTTGGTCTCCTCCTCCTCCTCCTCCTCCTCCTCCTCCTCCTCCTCCTCCTCCTCCTCCTCCTCCTCCTCCTCCTCCTCCCCCTCCTCCTGCACTCGCGCTGGGGCCCTCGCCCGGGTACCCGAGTGTCGCGTCGAAGCCCAGGGCCTTCCAGCCGACAGCCCAAGCGGCTGGGGCGGCAGCAGAGCCGGCCTGAGCAGTCGAGGCCAGGGCGCTGGGTAGAACCCCCGCTAGGGCCCCCACGGCGGCGGCCACGGCGAGGCTCGACCCGAGGTAGGCCGACGCCCGGCAGTATGGCCCGAGTCGGCTCCAGCAGTGGCGTAAATCCACCCGTGCCGCAGCAGCCCAGCAGCTGGCACGCCTGCCGACGACGGTGTCGCTTACCGCCTGCATCGCCTCCACGGCGACGAGAACGCCGAGGGCGAGCAACCAGAGGGGGCCGCCCATCACGAACGCGCAGCCCGGCAGCTCGTCGTTGTGCGGTGCGCTCGTCGTGTCTGTAGGCCCCCAGACCTCCGCAAGAAAGAAGAGGATGAGGAGAAGGAGGCCACCTCCTCCTTTTCGGCGTGCGTGCCAGAAGGACCTCAGGGCCTCTGGCGCCACGGCCGCCCTGGGTGGCTCGTCCGGCTCCGCCTGATCGAACGACGACGACGACGACGACCAGGAGGAGAGTGAGGGAGAAGAGGACGAGAAGGAGTAGGCGGAGACGGGGTAGGAGGAGAGCGACGAGGTCGGCCGATGGGGCAAGGGAGGAAGGCGGAACGAGGATCCAGACGACGACCAGAGGGTGGTGGAGGGGAGGGAGGAGGAGGAGGAGGAGGAGGAAGAGGAGGAGGGGGCTTCGTAGCCATTTTGGCTTAAGTCCGCCTCTTCATCCTCCTCGTCGGGCAGCTGCGCGCCGATCCTGGCGCTGGAGCCGCCCGGCGCGTGCCGCCCCGCCTCCTCTACCGCTTGAGCGTCCGTCTCCTCCCTGACCTCAGCCGCCACCTCCTCCTCGCCCTCATCCTCGACGGGGTTCACGAAGGTTGGGTCCAGCATGATGCCCGCCTTGGAATCGCAAAAGACGTCATTCATGTCTGTCTTGTAAGCGTCCTGGTTCGCGCCCTCCACTACGGTGTGGCTGTCGTCCGTGTCCAGGGCCGAGAACACGACCTTGTTCGCGTCCGCCTTGGGGTGCAGCTGAATCTTTCTGTCGGTGAGGAACACGCCGGAGGACTCACAAACGTAGTCCGCACCGTACTTCTTGAAGGGGATTTCGGCCGGATCACGGGTGTGCGACAGCGCCACTTGCTTGCCATCGATCACCAAGGAGTCCCCGTCGACCTCGGCAGTGCCATCGTACCTGCCGTGGATCGAGCCGTGCTTCATCTGAAAGGCAAGATACTCCGCATCGAGACTCGTGTTCTTCAGCTTGAGCTCCGTCTCTGGGTCCTTCGTGGCGATGCGGGTCTCCTGGCACCCGGCATCCTGAGCCTCCTCCGCCGCCTCCTCCTCCTCCTCCTTCTCCTCCGCCTCTTCTTCGACCTCATCCGCCAACTCCTCCTCGACTCCCTCACTCACCTCCTCGACCTCCGCGCGGCCACCACGACAGTCTTTCTTCGACGCCCCGTCCGCTGTCGGCTGAGATGCGGCCATGGCGTGGATCGTAGTCATGAAGCCCCGCTGAATGCCGAACGCGTCGATGACGACAGCCTTGACCTTGGGAGCAAGGGCATTGGTGGTGCACGTAGCGCAAGAAACGCAATTCCTTTCTGTCTTATAGGTGTCCTTGTTCGCGCCCATCTCCATGGTGTGGCTGTTGTCCGCGGCCCGGGCCGAGGACCTGACATCCTTCGCGCCTACCTTGAGGTGCAGCTGAATCTTTCCGTCGGTCAGGAACATGCTGATGAACTCACAGACGTAGTCCGCACCGTACTTCTTGAAGGGGATCTCTGCCGGATCACGGGTGTGCGACAGCGCCTTCTGCTTGCCCTTGATCGCCAGACAGTCCCCGTCGACATCGACAGTGCCATCGTACCTGCCGTGGATCGCACCGTGCTTCATCTGATAGGCAAGATGCTCCGCACCGTGACTCGCGTTCTCCAGCTTTAGCTCCGTCTCTGGGTCCTTCATGGCGATGCGGGCCTCCTTGCACCCGACCTCCTGAGTCTCCTCCGCCGCCTCCTCCTCCTCCTCCTGAGCCTCTTCTTCGACCTCATCCGCCGACTCCTCCTCGACCTCCTCACTCTCCTCTTCCGCCACGGCGCTCTCGCGCGCGCCGATCCTGGCGCCACGGCCCCAGGAGGCGCGCTGCGGCTCCTCCTCGACCTCATCGTCGACCTCCTTAGCCTCCTCCGCCGCCTCCTCCTCCTCCTCCTCCTCCTCCTCAGCAGCCTCATCCTTGATCTCGTCCGCCACCTCTTCTTCGACTTCCCCGCCGACCTCCTCGACCTCCGCGCTGCCGCCACTACAGTCTTTCTGCGACGCCCCGTCCACGGTCGGCTGAGATGCGGTCATGGCGTGGATCGTAGTCATGAAGCCCCGCGGAATGCCGAACGCGTCGATGACGGCAGCCTTGACCTTGGGAGCAAGGCCATTGGCGGTGCACGTAGCGCAAGAAACGAGATTCATGTCTGTCCTGTAGGTGTCCTGGCTTGCGCTCATCACTATGGTGTGGCTGTCGTCCGTGGCGGGGGCCGAGGGCACGACATCCTTCGCGCCCACCTTGAGGCGCAGCTGAACCTTTCCGTCGGTCAGGAACACGCTGGTGAGCTCACACAAGTAGTCCGCACCGTATTCTTTGGAGGGGATCTCGGCCGGGTCACGGGTGTGCAACAGCGCCGCCTCCTCGACTCCATTCTCGACCTCATCCTCGACCTCCTCGGTCTCCTCCGCCGCCTCCTCCTCCTCAACAGCATCCTCCTTGGTGTCGGCCGCCACCTCCTCCTCGACTTCCCCACTACCCTCCTCGACCTTCTCCTCCTCCTTAGCCTGTACCCTGGCCTCCTCTGTCTCCTCACCGTCGCGGTGTTGGCGGCCAACGTCGAGTCGTCGGATCGCGTCGTGTCGTCGGGCGGGGACGGGGGCGGGGGCAAGAGAGAGCAAGAGATCGGCATTGGAGGGGTGAGAAGCAAAAGACGGACGAAAGCGCGATGCCGCCTCGCTTTTGCGGGGGGTAGGCGAAAGGACAAATTCACTTGCGCCAATGTTTCCTCTCGCGGGGGAGGGGGGGGACTGCGGGGCCAGAGAGCGAGGCAGATGGTACGGAGACAGAACATGAAAAAAATGCCTGGAAAAACCTCCGGGCGTAGACACAACACTGCACGGATAAAACTCCTGGCAACTGTTGCAACATTTTGTGATTAAAAGGCCGCCAACTGGATAAAACTCCAGGATGCGAAACAAGTTGGGAAGCGGTGCGCGGGCTGCTTCATGCCGGGGCCGGGGCGACGGGCGGGAGGAGGAGGGGGGTCGAACAAACGGGTAGGTGGGAGGCTGGAGACGGCCTGCAACACAAATTAAAGGAGCATTGGCGTCGTGCGCGGAGGCCCCCTCAGAGCCGCCAGGGGCGGCAGCAATCAGGCCGAGCCAGACCTTCACGTACCCCGCCGCCGACCAGGGCGTCACGCTGAACATGTCGTGCTCGCCGCTGTCGGGGTAGGACATACACTCGCACGCCAGGGCTACCGTCCCCGTGGGCTGAACGCAGTCCGTCGTGCAGGAGCCGGAGCAGTAGTAGTCGCACGCCTGGTGCGACACGTTCGTGATGGCGGGGTTCAGGTCCATCTTGCCGAAGGGCTCCGCCTGGAGGTGGAGAGATCCCTGCGCGCGGGGCACGTGGATCTGGTCGGCCACCCGGCATCCCTCGTTGAACATCATGTGATGACGGGCGACGATCAAGTGGTTGTTTCTAGTCGACGACGTCAAGAAACTGACGATGTTCGTCACGGAGCGATGCTGCTGGAAAACCTCGAAGGAGCCGTGGCGCTTGTAAAACCGCAGGGCCGGGAAGGCTGCTATCTTGGCCTGCTTGCAGTTGTCCTGGAAGTCCACGCAATTCATCTTCAGGGATTTCACCGTGGACTGCCGCCCGTCGCCGTCGGAGACGTGCATCTTCTCGCCGATCTTGTCCGACGCCTCTATCCATGTTGGGAGAAACTGCCTGCAGTGACTGCGCCACTCGGCGTAGAAGTTCACCAGCTTGTAGTCGTGGAAGGTCGCCGCCGCCTGGAAGTCTTTGTGCTGGAAGTGGTCGCTGCTGGCGGACCAGTCCGAGTCGAGCTCCTTGGCCTCGTCCTCCGCGATGTCCGAGGCCACGTCCGCCTGCTCGAGCACCGCGATCTCCGCCTCGGTGTACTTGGCGCCCGCGGTGCCCCCCCAGTGGTCCAGAGTGCTATGGGTGAAAGACTTGTTGGTCACGAACCTGTCTTTCCCGCACTTGTCCCGCGAGCCCACTTCCCGGTACTTGCAGGGGAGGTCGAACACCGAGGTGTCGTACTCGATCCTGAGCGATTCGTCAAGCTCGTCGTCGATGACGACGTTCGTAGAGTAGCTAACTCTCAGGGAGGCCCCCAGCTCGGCGAACAGCAGGACTCCCAGCAGGGCGCACGCCACCACGGTGCAGACGCCGCCAGAGACCGCTCCGTGGGTGAGGTCCGCAGAGACCACGCGGAACTGGTCCACGCTGAGCAGCACCCTCGAGAACCCCTCCGCGCACGGCTCCTCCTCCTCCTCCTCCTCCTCCTCCTCCTCCTCCTCCTCCTCCACCTCCTCTTCCTCCTTCTCCTTCTCACCCCTCCTCCTCTTCCTCCTCCTTCTTCATGCCTCCTCCTCCTCTTCCTCCTCCACCTCCTCCACCTCCTCCTCCTCCTTCTTCATCCTCCTCCTCCCCCTCCTCCTCCTCCTCCTCCTCCTCCTCCTCCTCCTCCTCACCCCTCCTCACCCCTCCTCTTTCCACCTGCTCCTCCCTCTCCTCCTCCCCTCTCCTCCTCCTCCTCTCCTCCTCCTCCTCCTCCTCCTCCTCCTCCTCCTCCTCCTCCTCTTCCTCCTCCTCCTCCTCCTCCTCCTCCTCCTCCTCCTCCTCCCTCCTCCCCTTCTCCTCACCCTCCTCCTCCACCTCCTCCTCCTCCTCCCTCCTTCTCACCCCTCCTCCTCTTCCTCCTCCTTCTTCATGCCTCCTTCTCCTCCTTCTCTTCCTCCTCTTCCTCCTTCCCTCCTTCTCCCCTCCTTCCTCTCCTTCCTCCTCCTTCCTCCTTTTCTTCCTCCTCCATCCTCCTCCGCCTACTCCTTCCTCCTCCTTCTCCTCCTCCTCCTCCTCCTCCTCCTCCTCCTCCTCCTCCTCCTCCTCCTCCTCCTCCCGCCTGCAGGAGCGCGCGCGCGCAAGTGGAGGAGCGCGCGGCGCGCGGCGCGGGGAGGGCGTCGCCCGCGCGCCCGAGGAGGCTCGCGAGCGCGCCGTGAGCGCGGAGGCGTCCCGCGCCGCCGCTCTGGGGGGAACCCCTCCCGCGCAGCCGCGGCCGAGCGCGGCGCCCTTGTTGCCACGAGGGGGCAGGAGTGAGGGGGGTGGGAAGGAGGAGGAGCAGAAGGAGGAGGGAAGAGGAGGAGGAGGAGGAGGAGGGGGAGGAGGAGGAGGAGGGGCAGGAGGAGGAGGAGGAGGAGGGGCAGGAGGAGAAGAGGAGGAGGAGGAGGAGGAGGAGGAGGAGGAGAAGTGTTCATTCCTCCTCCCTCCTTCTCCTCGTTCTGTCTGCCCTTGCCTTCCAGCATCTACCTCCACGTAGATATACCTGCCCCGCCGGATCACCCCTCCCAGGGCCGACCGGCCCTGGGGGCGAGGCTGCGAACGACGTCCTTTTCAGCCGTCAGGAGTCAGGAGTCAGGAGGAGGACCAGAGTGAGCTCAGGACGCATCAACAGCGATGCCACGATGCACCCTCCATCCCGCGTCCCCTCCTCACAAGTCCCAACAGCATGCATTCCTTTCACCTGCGGCCAGCGCCCTCCTTGAATGACGAGCTCCCGGTGGGCTTGCCGCTCAGGCGACACCTTGTTCATTTAGGGGTCCACCCATTCATCTTCTCAGCTAAGAGAAGCGCAAAGAGGTGGGATGATCTTATTAAAGGAAGTGGCCAGCGGTAGCCCCGCTTTTGACAGGCTCTGCCCTCATTAGTGTAAGTGTTGCACAGGTTCAGACTTCTGATCATACAGTGGGGACGCGCATCAAGAAACCATATGCTTTTCGTCAGGGTATCCTGGGTTTCTTCGCTCCTCGCGCTGCGCGGTGACTTCCCGCAGCCGTTGAAGGAGCTGCTGCGTTCAGGGTGCTCCTGGTTTCCCCTCAGATGCACCTCGTGCACGGGTTCTCAGGATTGAGTTTCTTGCAAGGGTTTCTTGCGGCCGCGCCCGCACTATACCGCTTGCGGGTGTCTCAAGCGAGAGCCCAACTTTGAGAAGGAGCCGCCGCCCATCCGCGCAACGGTTGCGGGTTATTGCTCTTATTTCGAGCCACGGATTTCGAGGAAGATCCAGGCGAGGTCCACACTTTGAGAACGATCGGGCTTCCATCATTATCTGATGGCTTTCGGCAAATCCCGCCACCGTGCCTGGGTTGTGGGTCCGAGGCCTGTACAAGACTTCCCCCTAACCTGACGCCGGCGCCTAACCTGACGCCGGGCCCGCTGCCGGTGGACTCCGGTGGCACCCTGGCCGCGGGAACAGCGGTGACGTGCGCAGCTCTGGTGAGTGCTCGGGGCTTGGGGCGTGAAGACTTTTGAAATATAGCCCCAGCCCAATCGTCGGCCACATTTCAGCTGTCCGACCGCACTGCCAGCTACGTGTTCAGCCTGATCTGGCCGCAGCGGCAGCGACATGTCCACCTCAGAGTGGCATCCCCACCGCTGCGCGGGCACCCACACCTCCCGCTCGTTTGTGGCGATTCGGACTTGGTTGCAGCGCAAACCCCACCCCATGGCGCTGCCGCTCGAACGCCAGCCACAATCCTGACTGGGAACGGTGCGCTTGACACTCCTCGTTAGGAACGGTAATCTCGCCGTAGCGCCTGACACACTTCTATTGGCTACTGTGTTGCCGCTTGAGCGCCAGTCACTTGGTGCACCTATTGCGCCATTCATGGCGCAACCTACGGTGTAAGTCATGGCGCAACCTACAGTGGACCTATGCTGTGAAGCTTCGCGCAACCTATGGCACACCCTCTGGCGCAGCCAATGGCGCAACATATGGTGAAACTGCGACGCGATTAATCTCGTAAAGTCTGGCGCCTTCGCCGACAAGGCCGAAGATGAGGAGGAGGATGAGGAGGAGGAGGAGGAGGAGAAGGCGGACGGGGCTCTTGCGGCTAGCAGGTGGACAGGACTTGTGGTTTTCCGCGCCGACTCGGCCTGCAGTTGACATCCACGTCTGCGTCCGCGCGTGCCGGGCGAGGGTCGGCGGGGCGGCGTCAGGTTAACCACGCGGCGTCAGGTTGCGTTCAAAAACGCCGGGTCCACTGCTGGTAGGGTGGGCGTCAGGTTAGGTGCCCTGGCGTCAGGTTGGGGCGGTGGCTTGTAGGAGGTTCGTTGGGATGTCGCGGGGGGCCTCTCGGGGGCATCTTGGAGGCCGTATGGAGGCCTCTTGGGGGCCGTTTTTGGGCTTCGGAGGCGTTTTGGGAGCCCCTTCGGAGCCTCTTGGGGCCACTTGGGGGCCTCCTTGCGCCTCCTTGGGGTTTCCTGGGGGCCAAGACGGGCTCAAATTTTCCGTTCGTCGTTCCTCTCAGGGGCCCTTCGTGGGTCTGCTTTCGGGCCCTCTTGGGCCGTCCTGGGCGCCCCTGGGGCCGTCTTGGAGCCCCCTTGGACCGTCTGTGGGCCCTCTTGGGGGCCTCTTGCGCCGTCTTGGGGTTGTCGTGGGGGCTTTTTCGGCCGTCTGGGGGCGTCGGAAGCTCGAGAAGTCGAGGACCCCGAAAACATGTTGAAACATGTTAGCCAGCGTGGGCCCCAAACAGTGTGTTTCTAGCAACGTCTGGTGTACAAGCTGTATGGTGCATGCCACCCTGCCGAACTAGAAGTTGTCAGCTCCACTGCTCGCGCAATCTTCCCACCCACCCACCCACCCGAAATTTGATTTGCAAAAACCGTGCGATGGCGATTGCGATGACTGCTTGGCGCTGGCTGGCGCGTCGCTGCGGCCGCGCTATCGCGTGCAGGCGCACGCGCAGAGCGGCAGCGAGTTTGGCGCGACCGACGCTGCCGTGGTGACGCTGACCGCTGGGGACTTCCCAGTGCGTCTCGCAGGTCGCGCTGTCGCGCGGGCACTTTAAGTGCGAGTCGGCGGCGCGGGCGGGCGCGGTCGGGCGCGGTATCATGGCGACGTCGACAACGGCAGACACGCTGACGGCAGCAAGGCCAATGACGGCGCCGATGCTGATCACGCCGATGACGATGATGGTGCCCACGCGTCGGTGATGAAGGTTCTGGAAGGATTTCGACATGCGCGCGCGGCCAACGGGGGAGTGGCCCGCATGGTACTATTTGACAGGACACTGCCCCCCCCCCCCCCCAGCAAGCGCGCAAGGGCGTACGCATGATTCCGGCATGCGCGCACGAGGGGCCCGCTTGGTCGCATTTGATGAAACTGTTGTTCAATCTGCGGTTCTCTTAAAAACTCGTGCGCGAAAGTCCCGTTTGGTCGCACTTGATGAAAATATGCAGCACGCCGCAGTTGCGGATAAGAGTGAGGGGGCGGCGGGGACGTCGGCATTCCGCGAGGCTTTGAAGAAGCCCGCCACAGGCGCAAAAATTTCAAGCCATACAACGAGCCCGCCGCAGGCAACGATTTTTTGTTAAAACAATGTAGGGGGTCGCGAGTTGAGTCGCGGGTGGGTCGCGGGTGGGTCGCGGGCCGGGTCGCGGGTGGGTCGCGGGCAGGGTCGCGGGTGGGTCGCGGGTGGGTCGCGGGTGGGTCGCGGGTGGGTCGCGGGTGGGTCGCGAGCGGGTCGCGGGGTGGATCGCGGGTGGGTCGCGGTTGGGTCGCGGGGTGGGTCGCGGGTGGGTCGCGAGGTGGGTCGCGAGGTGGGTCGCGGGTGGGTCGCGGGCCGGGTCGCGGGGGGGACGACGACAACAACAACAAGCAGAATCCTCACCACGGATCTGCACTTCAGCCATGCACCCAGGGACAATGAATGACCGTTCGGCCCCCTCACTCTGATAGTTCAACTGGCCTTTTCCTTCAGATTGGCAAGAGCGCGCGCGCAGATTTTTTTGAATGCCCAGGTTGCAAAACATGTGCGTTTGTTTGGTTTATGTTTTCGAAGCACCCCGAATTGAAAACCCATATGGAACCTAAGGTGTTTGAAGGATTTCGGCACGCGCGCAACGACACGCGCGTGCGCATTTCGTCCCATTCGTTGCAAGGGATGTTTGAGGACTGCTGAGTTTCGAACGACGAGTGTTCGTGCACAAAGAGTCTGTGCAATCTGTGTAGTGTGAGCGGTAGCGTTGAAATCTACGCAGTGTAAGATACGCGGGGTGAGCTGCCGTGGTGCGACTTAGGCAATGCAATATATGTGGTGTGAGCTATGTGGTGTCGATTATGTGGTGCAGTTCATTTCGACTGTCTTGAAGCTGTCCTCCCCGCTGCTCGTGCAAACATCCCACCCTCCCACCCGCAACTTGGTCGCAATACCTCTTAAGACCGTGACGGTAGGTACCACATGATGGCACTTGGCAACGACGCCGGCGCCGACGACGACAGCGACAACGACGACGACGCCGCCGACACCGACTACGACGACACCGACGACGTTTCTATCGATTTCGACGGCGACGACAACGACGACGACGACGACACCGACGACGAGGACGACGCCGACGACGACGACGATGACAACGCCGACGACGACGACGCCGACGACGACGACGACGAAAACGACGACGACGAAAACGACGACGACGAGGACGACGACGATGACGACGACGACGCCGCCAACGAAAACGTCGACGACGACGACGAGGGAGGAGGGAGGACGACGACGGCGACAACGACGACAACGACGAGGGAGGAGGGAGGACGGCGACGCCGACAAACGAAGACGACGACGACGACGACGACGACGACGGCGACGAAATAGGAAGGACGACGACGAGACGCCGACGACGGACGCCGATGTCGAGGGAGTAGGAAGGACGACCACGGCGACATCGACGACCGAAACAACGACGACGCCAAAGAGAACTACGACGACGAGGAAACAGAGGACGACCTCGGCGACGACGACGACAACGACGACGGAGGAGGGAGGACGGCGACGACAACGACGACGACGACGCAAGAGCGCGCGCGCACGCTTTTGTTGAAAATCAGTGTTGCAAAACCCTGTGTTTTGTATGCTTTTTTGGACACTCGATTTTGAAACCCTTCCGAAACCAGAGGTTGTTGAAGGATTTCGGCATGCGCGCGCGACGACGCGCGCGCGTGCACTT